CATACACACATAAAATTTTAGACTGGGCATGGTAGCGCACATCTGTAATCCCAGCTCTTGGGAGGCTGAAAACAGGAGGATCACTGTGAGTTTGATCTGTGTGGTGAAACCCTGGAGACCCTGTGCTAAATATATATGAATAAAAACCAACTAGACTGAGGCCAGAAGGAGGACGAGGGAACAAGGCCACAACCTGGAGACAGTGCTAAGTGACTTCACACATAGGGAACTGGGACCGGACGTGAGCGCAGAAACGTGTTTGAAGAATTAACAGACTAAATGTTTCCAAACTTTAATTGTAAGCCCCCAGATCCCCACATTTCGTAAGTCTCCAACAATCAGGAGAAAACAATTACCAAAACAAGCAAAATTTGTGAAAACCAGTAAAAAGAGACACTCTCAGAAGCAGAGAAAAGAGAAACACTGTGCAGCGAGGCGAGCAGGACCCAGAGGAGTCGCGCCCGCAACGGAGCCAGTCAGAGGTGCTCGGCACGGCTCGCACTTCTTAAAGTAAAGTAAAACAAAAGCTGTCATGCCACCGTTCCATCCCCAGAAGAAAGGTTATTAACAGATTGAAGACAATGTAAAGACATTTTCAGACCAAGGGAAGTTAAGAGCGCTCACTTCTAGTTGACCTGACACTGTTAAGACATGGTAAAGATTTTTAGATAGGGAAAATGATAGCCAAGGAAATAAGGACTGTACCCCCAAAAGAGGGTGAGTATGCAGCTATAAAAACAATTTGTTCTCGCTTAAAAAAACTTTAAAAATGATAATTGAATTTTAAAATAATAAAAGAGAAATATGTCAGGGGCAAGTGACATGTATAGAAGTGGTTTTCAGGACAACAAGAAAACAAGCTCGATGAGGAGCAGAAGGCACTGCCCGGCTGCCGCCTCACACCTCGCAGGCAGGTGTGTGACAGCCCACTGTCACTCAGGCACACGCTGCACCACAAAGGCAGTCGCTTGTTGAACATAAAACGCAGCATCAAAATCAGTCCATTCAGCCAGAAGGGCAGAAAAAGGGGTTCCCCCAAATCAGACGAGACAAAGAGAAAAACCCAAACCAAGATGGGGCACTGAAACTTAATCCTATCAACAATACAGGTAATTTAAAAATAGCAACAAAGTGCAAACACACGTACACACACACACACACACACACACACACAGGACACTCAAGAGTTCTGCTTTACTGTCCTATTTATATAAAAGTCCAGCATAGGCAAATTAATAAAACAGATTAGTGATTGCCTGGAACCAAGAGTGTTAGCTACAAAGAAACCTGAGAAATCTCTTTAGGGTATGGAAATACTATATACCCTTCTTAGGTGAGGGTAGTAGGCATGTATTTTGGGTACTTAAGTAGATGTGCTTTTGTCTATATAAATTATACTTCAGTAAAGTCCTTTGAAATTTTTTTTTAAAAAAAACCTTTAGTGATAAGACAGGGATTTGAACCAAAAGCTTGGACAATTCCTTTTGTCCTGACTTTTGCAATTTCTTGTCAGATCTGAAAAGTAAAGCTCCAGCTATTATTGAATAATGAGAGTATTACTGCACAATGGAACACCACTCAATGGCACAGTGAATACAAGGAATTACTTTCCACTACGTGATACTGTGACTTAAAACAAAGGTGCTCAGTTCTCAGAAGAAAATATTTGAAGCCTACAAATCAATTTATCAAAACAGTTCTAAAGCCCGCCTGGTGACATCATGAACATGACAGGGCAAGGAACGGAGGAGAGGTGTGTCACGCTCCCAGGTGAGACGGTGCCTGGTGAGGCGCTACTCTCACGTGACGGTGGGCACAAACGCAGTGCCAGCCAAGCTCCCAAGGAGGCTCCGGGAGGAAGGAAGGGCTTCAGTTCATCAGCCATGGCATCCAAAAGAGGCAAAGGACAAGGCAAGCCAAAAGATTCTGAAAAACAACCGCGAGCGAGCCCTGGCCGCCATCCTGCAGCACACAAGGCCCAGGCGTCAAAGCTGTCTGCGGACCGTAGAAGGACAGATGAATAAAAGGACCTCTCCAGACCACGTACATGTGGAAGTCTGTCGGATCATGTTATGCTGCACTCAAATGAGTGACAAAGGGACACACTGTTGAATAGACGATGTGAAAGAAACTGAACACTAGTTTATTAAAGTAATTGATTGAGCCTTTACTTTCCATCTGACATTCAAATAAATTCCAACCAGATTAAAAATTTAAACCAAAACAAAATTGCAAAAGCACTGAAAGAAAACACTCAGAGCTGTACGTGCAATACTGAGGGGATGTCTTACAGGATGACAGGACACAGACCGGCCACAGAAAGGCTAGGCAGGGGTAGAGCTACACACTCACTGAAACCTGTACACAGAAAACACGTCTCTTACAGCACTAAGAGGCAAAGTATAAATGAAGAATAATATTTGAAAATTCTGCAACCAATTTAAGATCAATGTAAATAACATAGAAAGAGATCTTATCCATGAAATGACATTATCACTCCGATACATTATGGATAAACAAGTTAAAATATAAATGTCCTTTCATTTTGTAATTCCACTTACAGAAACATACCTAATAATAAAATTTCCTTAGATCCCCGAAGTTTTCATTTCGGTAGTCT